AAATTATGCCATCATCTGGTAATTTGAATGCTCCAAGATAAAACCCACAGAGGTTGTTGGGATAAAACAGAGAGTACCAATTTCAACTAGTGGACTGTATTTTTTTCTCATAACTGCCTTCCCCCATATTTTGAGGAAAAAAATCAAAAGAAGTGTTTTCCCCTCATAATGTCTTTTTTATTGTATTCCTCTTTAAGACAAACCCTCGGGCTGTCAGGAGAGGCTTCTCTAAGCAAAATGTCTTTTCCCCCTAGAGCAGACAAAAGATTAAAGGAACAGTTGGCCGTGAGCCAGTTACCAAGATGATAAGAGAAAATCTGGTCCGTCATGGCTTTTAACCCTCTCAGTCCTTATCTGTGTCTCTCTCATTTTCTGTGGGCCAGACAGGTGCTCCTGGCCCCCTCAAAGCCCCTCCAAGCTTAGGCATGAGGAGACAGAAGCAGTGAACCACAAAGAACAGATCATAGCCTAAAAGTCAAAAAGAAGAGAGGCTCTTGTCATAAATTCTTTCCAGTTACTTACAATCTCTTCCTCTACAGCAAAGGCCCAGCTTGCTTACAGCAGTCTTCTGCTAAAAGCAGCAAGACTGGCTGAAGGAAGAACTAGGAGGGCTAAAATCCATAGCTAAAGTTCACTGCTCTTTGGTAAGTAGAATAAGAATCCTCAAGGTAAATGAAGGTCACCAATGGGTGTCAGATGTTCCCATCACCGCCTCTCAAAGCTTGCATATCTCAGAGTGTACACACCAAGGGGCAAACACAGTAACTTGTACACTCACAAGAGGTTTGCTATGACCAAGGATTCGTTACTGGATCTCTCTTGTTCTAAAATACAGGCAAAAACAAGATTGGTTTTAGTTTGGTGCTTCAAAGTTGAGTGGATTCCCCCCTCCCTTCATCTGTGCTACAACTTTAATGTTAAAAATTTGGTATTTTTGTCTGTTTCAGTGGTGTATTCCTTTCTGTAGTAATTCTTCTAAATGTAAGCTATTACTGTATATAAAATATGTGTTCTTGGAGATAAGGTGCTAGATATTAGATTTATGTGTCCGTAGATAGTGTCACCCTCAAAATTGGGTAGTACGTACATGTAAAGTTAGTTAATAAAATGCATGCAGAATTCTATTTGTGACCCACACCTTGGTCAGTTTCTGAAGTAGAACATAGTATATTTGTGTGTAAAGTTTTCTTTTTAAAGTGTATACTGCAGGATGTATAAGAGGCTCCAAGGTGGGGTGGCAGGAAGTGGTGCCTTTCATTCCTTAAATCCCTGGTATAATATACAACAGGTGAGAACTTATTCTGGTACAGTTGGTCATTACTGTGACTTAATCGTCTTGGCCAAAGTCCTCGCTGGCAGTTCTCCACAACATGCTTGGCACTGGTACGCCTGTTTTCCATTCATTGTATAGAATGCAGAATCAAAAAAGACAATCCTTTCATCCTTAAAGAGCAAAGGCCCCAGGACAGGCTATTGGAGTCCTGTTAGCAGGATGGAAAGAATGATGTAGTCTCAAGATCCAACCAGTGCCTGACTGTGAACTGGCAGGGTTTGCATTGAGCAGATCTATATTGCCACCATCCCTGCCCTCCCAGAGCAGCACCAAAAACCAGAAAAAGGCTGCTCTGTTTAGTTTTTTTTTTTTTTTTCTTTGATCGGTTGCCTGAGAGATAAGAGAGCATAGATGGGTAAATACATAAAGAAGTAGTGGGACTCCTCCGGGGGTCACAGCTAAGATGTTTGAGAATTACAATCGTATAGCAACGGCATTTGCATCAGACAAGAAAAGAGAACTATGAGATGAGTTTATTATATTTTAAGAATAAAAATATTAAAGCTGAAAGCTATATATATTGAATAATTTCTAAAACTGCCTTTAATACCAAATTTTATGTGCTGTTTTTGAGACTGAAAGCAGGAGGAAAATGCATTCAGTCAATAAACAGTTTTCTTTAGTATTTTAAATTTTGAATTTGAATTTTTCCTTTTCCTTATCAAAAAGTATTTGTAATTTAAAAGTGCCTTTTCAAAGGATTGCCAAACGACAATCCTGGGGCCAAGTTCCCACTGGCACAACTTACCTTCGGGTGCACAAAAGGGGTGGACTTAATCCTCCTCCCCCCAGCAAGAAGAGAAACCCCTTCACACCCCAGTCAAATTCATACACCATTACTGTTACACGGGTCAGTAGTCTCGGAGACTCTGCCCAAGGACAAGGTTTCACATATTGGTTGGCTTTAATTGGATCCTTTCTAAAATGGTTACAGTACATGTTCTTGCTGGACAGGAATAACGGACTCCTGCTTGGGGAATACAGAGAGATTGATGTTTGTGGTTTAACTAAATATTATTAAGTAATGTTTGTGTTTCTTAAATAGGTGCTGTTAATCTGTCCTTGGTATATTCTTCTTAAATATGCTGAATAAAGTCTAATTTTAATGCGTGTATCTGGTTATTATGCCAAGCTCCATGGAAAACACATAAGAGAGGGAGACACATAACTAGTTCTCGATCCCTTCTCTTTTGCTGGAACAGAGGAAACGGGGGAAACTAATTGTAGTACGCAGCAGAATGAAACAGATGGGCTCCAATGCTTCACATCGCACTATTCCAATATAAGGAATATGCAGTGGGAGGGGGGAGTCATCTTGAGGGGCTTGCTGGAAGAGGGGAATCTGCTGAGTCCTCTGTGAATAAAAAGGATTCCAAAGTGAGGGTGGTCAGGCTTGGAAAACAAACTTATGGTTACCAAAGGGGAAAGGTGGGAGGAGGGACAAATTAGGAGTTTGGGATTAATACACACTACTATGTATAAAATAGATAACTAATGGGAACCTACTGTAGAGCACAGGGGACTCTACTCAATATTCCTTAATAACCTATACGGGAAAAGAATCTGAAAAAGAATGGATACATGTATATGTATAACTGATTCACTTTGCTGTACTCCTGAAACTAACACATTGTTAATCAACTATGCTCTCATACAAAATAACATTTAAAAAAAAACAACAAAGTGGGGATGGGTGGGCAGAGTGGAAAAATGGGGCCAGGCGGTTTGCGGGGCTCCCAAATGCCAGCCTTAGTCTCAAGGCCATGAGGTTTGGGGGGTTGGGCTGAATAGGCTTTGTTTTAGGAAGCAGTGCTGCCCAGCACCTGGCTCACCCCCACCGGGCTCCTGGCCCTTCCGTCTTGCTACTCATGACCAGGACACCTCCCTCGGCACAATTCAGCCACACCAACACCGTTGTCACCCACCCCTCCCCCCCCACACACACATACACCCTGAGTCCCGACTCACCAGGGTTTACACAACAAGAGGCAGGAGCATGTTCTCTCAAGCCCCAGTTTAAGAAACTGGCGCAGCCTCTAACACCAACCATGACATATGAAAACACCGGGCACAGATGAGATAAGCAAATATGCCTAAAACTTAAGAGCCCACTAGTTCCTCTCAAGTCCATGTGCTTGACCTACTAGTAGCCCTTCTTCCCATAATCTCATCAGCAGTGGTGCAAGGAGCTGCGCCCTCCTGCTTCCACGCTCGCTCGGAGGCTCAGGGAGCTATTCATCCCTGTTTCAATCAAAGGAAAGTGCTCTTCTCCATTTTTCACTCCAAAATCTAAATACTCACACCTACGCGCTGTTATTTCGAGATGTTCAAAGACGGCTGCCATGAGACCCGCCCGTGGTCGCCTTTAACCTTGGTTTATGAACAACGTCCAGGCGATGACCTTCTCGTGCTGCAGAAATACATTTACCATCTAGAAAACTACTACCACCAGTGCAAGCAAGTGAGCTCGTGAGCTCCGATCAAACTATCAGGCAGCAAACATGGTGGGAGCAGAGTCCCCCGAAGCTGGAACACTGCTTAGTGCACAGTATTTAGAGAAGGGGCCAGGTTCCAAGGTATCTGTCGCCTCAGAGAAGTTCCTCCTCTCAGGCAGGGTTTAGGGCTCGGCCTTCGATTCCGAGACTGAATGCAAGAGGGTTGAGAGGGGGCTTCCCCGGTGGCACAGTGGTTGAGAATCCGCCTGCCGATGCAGGGGACACGGGCTCGAGCCCTGGTCCGGGAAGATCCCACATGCCGCGGAGCAACTGGGCCCGTGAGCCACAACTACTGAGCCTGCGCGTCTGGAGCCTGTGCTCCGCAACGGGAGAGGCCGCGACAGTGAGAGGCCCACGCACCGCGATGAAGAGTGGCCCCCGCTCGCCACAACTAGAGAAAGCCCTCGCACAGAAACGAAGACCCAACACAGCAAAAATAAATAAATAAATGAATAAACTCCTACCCCCAACATCTTCTTTTAAAGAACCAAGGGCTGATCCCTAGAGCAGATCAACATTTAAAAAAAAAAAAAAGAGGGTTGAGAGGATCTGAAAATGCCACTGTCAAGAGACACCTTTGACTTTCTGTAGCCACTCCCTCCCCCCCCACCCCTTCCAGTCTGCTCCAGGCCCCATCACAACCCTGCTCCTTCCAATGCAGAGGAAGGCCTACTACTGGTTACTGAACTAGTTTCTTCTTCCCTGAGGCAACTAGTCAGCTCTTACTCCGTCTCCCACTCTCTCAGAATGCAGCCCCCTGACCCTGTCCCTCCTCATTCCGGACTCCCCTTCAAGGGCAACACCACCTCTTTGCTCCCTGCACCCACCAACACGTATTCCTCAGCTTGAGGGCGGCTTTGAGAACGTTCATGAATTGAAGGGTATGTGTAGATAGTTTTCAAACGTTTACCTCAATAAGACCAATATTTATCAATAAAATTTATCACAGAACAATGTATGATTTTCATGACTGCTCCCCCCAAACTGCAAGCTCAAAGAATGCTTGCAATACAAATTCCCATAATTTGGGAAGTTGTAACGCCGGACTATTGTCGAGTAGAAGCAAAGAAATCCAAGAAAATTGACTCCAAAGATTTTGTATCTACACACAACTAAGTCACACTTGCACATTCTCAGCCTCCAAAGGCAGCAAACAAAAAAAGACAACCAACAACCAGAAATGTGCCGATTTAATTGAGGAATAAGACAGCAGTATCTGGTATTCCATAAATTCTATATGTTAAACCAATGCATATTTTTTAAGTGATCACCCAGATACAAAGGTGTAATATAGTTTGTACAATCAACTTAAATTGGAAAATTTCACATTTTACCTAAGAGTTATTTGACAGTAGTTCAGATGCTCTAAGCAGATGAAGAAGAAAAAAAGGAAAAAACTTTTCATCCAAAAATCCAGTCTACTCAACTTTAATTTTTTAAGGAAATGTGCTTCCTTTGTTCTAATTGCTTTAAATCAAACCCTATTATGGTATTGTTTCAGGAAAATATTACTTAGAATGAACCTACCTTCCAACCTGTTTTTTTTTTTTGTCCATACAATCGTATTTTGTGTCATACAAACTGAGGCCGGACAATGAGGTTTTTAAATTGATAGATATTAAAAACATGCAATTGGAAGCATACATATATATCTCTATAGATGTTCATATAGCTACAGATATATATTCAAAAGCAAGGGTGATGTGCATGGAAGCCTCTGGGGACATTCTTTAATCCACTTTCACCACACTGTAGATTTTAGTAATAAAACAGAAGCAGGAAAAAAATCCAAGTGTCCCTGAAACAAAATGAAAAATATCTTTGTTAACCAGACATTATAGAACATCAAATTAGCTTTCTCAAAAACGCAAAGCGGGGCTTCCCTGGTGGCGCAGTGGTTGAGAGTCCGTCTGCCGATGCAGGGGACACGGGTTCGTGCCCCGGTCCGGGAAGATCCCACGTGCCGCGGAGCGGCTGGGCCTGTGAGCCATGGCCGCTGAGCCTGCGCGTCCGGAGTCTGTGCTCTGCAACGGGAGAGGCCACAACAGTGAGAGGCCCGCATACCGCAAAAAAAAAAAAAGAAACCGCAAAGCATGTCCATTTTGAGGTGGGGCACTCATTCTCTAAATCTCCAGACTCGGACTTTATCAAATAAAAATCACCAGGCTCTCTTGCTGAGCAAAGAGGATGAGCAGCGGGGCTGGAGGCAGTCACCTGGAAAAGGGTGAGAAGCCATTTGACTGAACACTGCAGGTCTCTAACCAAAGCAAAGTAATAAAAATGAGTAACTTAAGTTCTCTATTTCAAAAAGGATCAAAAGAGTGCAAGCTACTTTCTTGGTTATTTTTTTCTTTTTTAAAAAAATAAATTTATTTACTAATTTTGGCTGCGTTGGGTCTTTGTTGCGCACAGGCTTCCTCTAGTTGCAGCGAGCGGGGGCTACTCTTCGTTGCGGTGCGCGGGCTTCTCATTGCGGTGGCTTCTCTTGTTGTGGAGCACGGGCTCTAGGCGCGCAGGATTCAGCATTTGTGGTTCACTGGCTTCAGCAGTTGTGGCTCGCAAGCTCTAGAGCGCAGGCTCAGTAGTTGTGGCGCACGGGCTTAGCTGGTCCGCGGCATGTGTGATCTTCCCGGACCACGGATTGAACCCGTGTCTCCAGCATTGGCAGGCGGATTCTTAACCACTGCGCCACCAGGGAAGCCCCCAAGGCTACTTTCTAACACAATAAACTTTGTATAACTTGCTTCAATTTTAGACAATGTAAATAACCATTATCTACGTAGCAAAAGCAGGAATAATCTATTTACTTACATACTCAGAGAATATATTAGTTTTCTAAATCAAAGTTTTGCATAATTAAGCTTGAGAAACAGCCCATCTCTGGGGACTTATCCTAAAGAAATGATCCCATAGAAGAAAAAAAATTACACGCAAAAGGTGTTCATAACACTGATTTATAACATTGAAAAGTTAAAATGCCCCCAAACAGATGACTACCTAAACGATGAACCAAGATGAAATAAGATAGGCATCAAAAATGACAAATATAAAGACATATAAAGCAGCATGGGGCAATATTTATAATATGGTGTCAGGTGAAAAAAGCCAGACCTCAAAGAGCTCCCAGGCATCACACCTATGAGAACACTGCATAAGCCTAAACCTGTCGACTACAGCAGAGCATGAACAAAAGAAGATACCTTTATATCTTAGGGTGACATGATTATGGACAAATTTTTCTTTAACATAGAATTCCATTGATGTTCATACTATAAAAATAAATCTTCAGATGACATTAAGGTCTAATGACTTAATTGAAGAAAACTCTAATAAGATTTCCAAATCCCATAGTCTAAATGGGGCACCCTAAGACAATTCAGTCATCTAAGAAAACATCTTAATAACAAGATCACAGAAAGCTTTAGGCAGGGTTTGTTACCTTTTTCTATGCCGATTGCTAAATTTATCAATAGAATAACTTTCCATCCTATATACCATCATGCCACTTCCCTCCCATCCTACAAAGCTCCTTGTCAGGAGTCAGTATGGTACAGCGATAAGACCATGGGCTCTGGAGGGACACAAATCTCCTCTGTTGGTTACTTGTTGATCTTGGGCAAGTGACAGTCTTGCCAAGCCTCAGTTTTCTCAGCTGAAAAATGGGGACAATAATACCTATTCCTACTTTTGGCTTCCTTTTTTGAATCCAACAACTTCAAAGGTTCAGGTGCATAGCTAACATATGTCTCTGAATCTAAAACACTCCTGATTTCAATTTGCTGCATATTATTCCCATAAATCATTAAAATGTCTATGAATTCTCAACTTTTTGATGCTCTATTTAAAGTACCAAACTGTCTCCTACCCGAAAAACAAAACTCCATCAACCCTCACATTGTTCTGATAGTTGGCTGAGCTAAAGAATCTGGAGTTAGGCAGACACTTAGCTGTATGATGTAGAGCAAGATACCTATCTCCTCTGTGCCTCATAAGTGAAAAGGAATCATATCCCTGCCCAGCTAACAGGCTTGACCTGACAAAAAAAGGGTAAAATACATTAGAGGCACCCAAGAAATGATAGCTGTCACTGATGTTCTGATCTGGGGCTTGAAAAATATGTTCACATGGGATTTATTTGACTAGTGTGGAAGTCCTCAACATCACCTGTAGCTTGGAATCACCGGGGGAGATTTAACAAATACTATTGCCTGGGTCAACCCCCCCAGCTATGCTGATTTAATTGATCTGGGATGCAGCCTGAGTGTCAAGAGTTTTTTAAATCTCCCCAGGTCCTAACATGCAACCATGGTTCAGAACCTCTGGGCTAGCCTGTCTTCCTCCCTTAAGTATGGAGAGAGGTGTGGAAATTTCTCTCCTAAGGGCCACCGTACCACACAAGTTAAAAGCAACGTAAAGGATCTGGAGAAATTAAAATATTTTTTTCTACAGCTCAATTGCTTGTACTACAACTTGAGGGTAGAAAAAGGGAGATGGGACAAAACGGGAGAAAATTATCACTTTGGTGTCTTTGCCTACTTTTCCCTCAGGACAGAGAAAGTACTAAACCAATACTAGAAGTGTCCTAGTTTCTGTCTAAACCTCATAACCTTTTTTCATTAGGTGGGGTGATACATAACAAAAAGACAATCCAACCACAGGATCTTGAATGAGGCAGTCCAAGACAAGCAGAGAAACCCATTTTCCCCCTGTCCTTTCTCTAATTGCAATTCTATAATGAAAAAAATTCACAGTCTGATCTAGAACTGGCATCCAATACACATTTCCTCCAGGGCTTTCCCAAAGTAGTCATGTGCACTTGAAAAAGAAGAAACTAGCTAAATAAAACATTTTGAAAGTCTATCACATTTCTATGCAATGTGATACAAACAAACCTTTAAAGAGCTTTCCACAGTCACTTTGGGGACTAAATTCCAATATACATTAATTTGAGAATTGGCAGCTGTGAATAAGACACATGCCGAAAAGATTTTCCTAAAGCTGGAATTAAAGCCATTGCACAGAGGAATAAAGAGAAAGTGTGTTTGGAGGAAAGGGTCTTGGGGACCTTGATTCTCCTCAGCCACATTTGATTCAGTATTCAGTAAGCACTTTCTCTGGGCCCGGCACTTGCCAGGTAATGTAAAGGATAGAAAACGGGGCTCTGGTGGGGAACAATGTCAGTGGCCGCACAACATATCACTATTTATACAGAGGTCGCAGTCCGAGACTTGGAAAGGACCCCTAACCCCTTGTCTTTCTCGCTTCCACATCTTATCAGTCACCAAGACCTGCCAATTCGAACGTGGAATTTTTTTTGAAGTGAAAATATTTTATTTACATGCTTATTTAAATACTTCTTTTCCTCAACTAAATACTTACTGTGATAACAGAATACAATTGCTTTCCCCCTTTCAGTTGGTAACCTGTGAAATTTTTTGTTTTGGTGTTTACATACATAGGAAAACATCTTTATAACAAGTTTTAGAACTAAAGAGGAGACTGAGATTTCAGAGATTCAGAGAATTCAGATTCACACCCATTAAAAGTGCCAGCGAATGGATGAAAATATTACCAGAATTCATATTACATATTAAACCACATTTTTTCACGTGCACGTTATTGTTAGGATTGGAAGAAAGTGGTGTTATTTACTGCAGAAACTCTTAATAGATACAATTTAATATAATGTATAAACATATGTTATATTCATTCTTGCATAATTGTATAATTTGTTATGAAAATAAAAATCAGAGATGGTAAACGTAGTTTTCACTGATTCCTTGATTGTTTATGTTTACTTTCCGAGCTCGATGCTCTATCATTTATAAATTAATGTTTTCTGTGATCTTTTCTCTAAAAACTTTATTATCACTTCCAGGACATAATTGGCATTGATTTTTTTTTATGGGAATCTTCTGAATCCATCCCCTCCATCCATCTGTCCATCTCCGTAGCCATTGGGTCTTAAGTCACACTCTCTTCATCTCTCATCTAGAAAACTGTCTCCTAGCTTGTCTTCACTTCCAGTATCCCTCTCAAATCCATTCTCTGTCAGAGTGATTGTGATATTTCCAAAACACAAGTTTGATTGCCAGGTCCCTACTTACAAACCTTTAATAGCTTCCCATAGCAAAAGTACTTAAACCCCGGAGGGTATCAGAAATCTTTTAAGCTGCTAAAAATACAGATCAGCAAGGATTCTGATTCAGGGGCTTTGGGATAGGCCCTGGGCATCAGATTTATTGGTTTTAGGTAGTTTTAAATAATTTCCACAAGTGAATGTAAGGCACACCCAAGTCTGAAAATGACGACTATATATGATAAAAATTCCAACTCCTTAGTCTCAGCCCACAAGGCCCTCCAGGATCAGACCCTGGCCCGCCACTTTAGGCCTTCTTGATGCCTTAAATTTTAAACTCCCCAACCCCAAATTACCTGAAGATCTCCGTGCTTTCACAAAACTCCAGGTTAACTCTATTAGGCTCCTTACCACGATGCGTGGAAATGATCTGTTTAGAGGTCTTCTCTCTCCAGCTGATAGCCTTGAGGCTAGGGGTGAAGTCTTACTCAATTTTGTGCCCCCAGTGCATAGCATAGTGTTGGGTACATTGTAGGTGGACAACAAATGTCTCTTAAACTGAACTGTTTAAATTAACTGCTTAGCAATGTAAGCTCCATGAGGATAGGGATTTTGATCACTGCTAAAGCCCCAGCCTCTAGGGCAGTGCATGACATACAGTAGGTGTTCACTATATTCTTCTTGAATGAATGAATGAATGATGAATAAATGGCAGGAAC